GATGCTGCAGTCATTTGGGGAGTGAACTAACAGATGGAAGATTCTCTCTTTCTCCGTCAATCTATAATGCTGCCTTTCAAATAAATAACATAAATCTTGGGCCCGGCACGATAGCGTAGCTGTTAAAGCCTTTGCCTTAAACGCACTGGGATCTCATATGAGCGCTGGTTCTAATCCCAGCAGCCTGCATCCCATCCAGCTCCCTGCTTGTGGCCTGGGAAAGCAGCTGAGGATGGGCCAAAGCCTTGGGACCCTGCACCTGTATGGGAGACCTGGAAGAGGCTCCTGGCTCCTGGTTTCGGATTGGCACTTGGCTCAAGCCTTTGCCGCCACTTGGGGAGTGAACCATCGGGTGGAAGATCTTTCTCTCCTTTCTGTATATCTGCCTTTATTCTTTATATACATACATACACACCTGCATACACACACGTAATCAAAGAATTTACAGAGCTGGTCAGCAAAGTTGCTTTGCTCCTAACTACCAATAAACCTTTGACAAAGGTGGCAAGTTGCAACCTGAGGCTTGAGGGGAGGTAAGTCCTCACATCATCCAGCTGCTATGGCAGGCAACACTCGCAAGCAAAGAGTGCTGGGGACTGGGCACAATAAGTTTAAGGTACCAGCAGCACCTTCTTGCCTCCCTAGAATACACGCAGGGTCCCGCTTGCCTTCGAAGTCACCAGTCTGAACTTCCCCCTCCTTGGAGAGGTGCCTTACTCCCCACTCCACCAAGTCAGGCCTTGACTCTATTCTACACCCCAGCTACACCCCAGCACAGTCTCCTGGGAAAGCCACAGCGCAGATCTCCAAGTAGCTACACTCCCTCAGCCTCTCGGGACATCAGGTGACTCCAGAGGCAGCCGCTCCAGCTGCTTTGGATGTAGCCACCACCCAGACAGGCTGCACTGGGTGCCGGGTGTTCTCCGTCTGGCCCTGCTGACCTGTTCTCCTTGGCCAAGTCCTGAGCTGGAGTCAGTGGTGAGGAGAAGTCCCTGATGAGACACCAGAAGACAGCCCCCTCCTAGGACAGCAGAGGTCTGGAGCAGCTTTTCCTTCCGCCCTCAGAACCAACCCATCCTGCCACACCAGGGGTTAGCGTGGTGGCCTCCAGGATATCACCTGAGCCAACCCAGGCTGTTGTCCTCTGTTCTGGCAGTCCTAGCACATGGGTCTAAGCTGCAGGATCTGGGGACATCTCTCACCCTATCTGCCGAGGAATGGGGCATGCTCCCCTCTGCCCTGCACCCCTCTACCCTATCTTCTGCGTTTCCCTCGCCCTATCCACACCTCTGACTCTCCCTGCAGCCCCCTTCATTTAACCTTTTGAGTGTGCCCTGATAGCCAGGCCTAGCACATGGTGATACATTCCCCATAGACGTCCCCAAACGTTCACAGAGGCAAGCTGAAGGTCTGTTGGGCTACTCCAAGCATGCAGAATGCAAACGACCTCAGAGGATCTCAAAGGTGCTCCAAAGAAAGCCCACACAGCCCCACATTCTCCTATAGCTCATTTCAACTCACAGGACCTGGGGGAAATCATAAGTGGACAGGCTACCAGGATTTTTTAAAAAATGAAATTTTGGGGCAAAGCATTGTAGTTTGTCTCAAAACAGGGAATGTTGGCTTGAAAGAAGCATGTGTCTTCAAATCTAGGGAAGCTGGTTTCAAAAATGTCAGAGGGGGCTGGTGCTGTGCTACAGTAGGGTACATGGGTACCAGTTCATGTCGTGGCTGTTCCACTTTCGTTCCAGCTCCCTATCAATGGCCTGGGAAGGCAGTGGAGGATGGCCCAAAGTCTTTGCACCCATGGAAAGACACAGAGGAAGCTCTTGGCGCTTTCCTTGGATTGGCTCAGCTCCAACTCTGACCATTGCGGCTATATGGGGAGTGAACCAGCAGATCTTCATGTTTCTTTTTCTTTATATAATTCTGCCTTTCAAATAAAATAAATCTTTTTTTTTTCAAATGTCAAACAGGCATTGGAAAAGATTCCAGGGCATTCTTAAAAGATAACTTAGCAGAGTATAAGAAGAGTTTTTTTCTTTTTTTAATTAAATTGAAACTACCCATGAGCATCTCGAAGCATGAGGATTTGAATAATTTTGCTTTTATTTATTTTTTAAGATATATATATATATATTTATATTTATTAGAAAGTCAGGTATACAGAGAAGAGACAGGGAGGAAGATCTTCCATCTGCTGATACATTCCCCAAGTGGCCACAATGCTGGAGCTGAACCAATTCAAAGCTCAGAGCCTCTTCCAGGTTTCCCATGCAGGTACAGGGTCTCAAGGCTTTGGGCTGTCCTCGACTGCTATCCCAGGCCACAAGCAGGGAGCTGGATGGGAAGCAGGGGCTGCAGGGATTAGAATCAGCATTTATATGGGATCCCAGCACATGCAAGGCAAGGACTTTAACCACTAGGCTACCGCACCAGGCCCAATAATTCTGCTTTTAAAAAAGACATGCAGCAAATACAAACAGTGTGTGATGGATAAACATTAAAGAAGAGTTACCACTTAGTATAAAAGATTTATTTAGTTGAAAGGCAGATGTACAGTTGGGTGGGGCAGGGAGATAGAGATCTTCCATCAACTGGTTCATTCCCAACATGCCCCCCACAGGTGGGGGCATGGAAATGATCAATTTTCGGAACTTGGTCCAGTGCACTTACTCCTGCCTCTGGAAGAATCCTCCTGCGTTACTGGAAGGACGGTGTGAAGCTCTTCAAGAGCGGAATGACAGAAACAGGGTCAGGCTTGGTAGGCTGAATCTCCCCAGGCTGAACACACTTTCCCTGTGCTGGGATTCTAGCAGAGCTTCCCTCTTGGGGTGCTCTCTTTCCCTGCCATTCCTCACTGTCTGCAGAAACTGTATCCTTTTACTAGACAAAGATCTGAGCACCTACTATGTGTTAGATGTTGTAGGCACCGGGTAACACCCAGGAAACTTCGTCATGATTACTCTCGCAGGGCAGGACAGACCCGGGATTCTCCCTCCTGGCTGTCAGCTGATTCCCGTCTTTCCTAAAATATCTGCACTTGTCCTGAGCTAGCCAATCCTCGGAATCCAGGGCTTCGCCACCTGCCCCAACCCTCCTCCTGCTGCCAGGTACAGAGGGCGGGAAGAAACTGGGCCAACAGACACTGTCCTCTTTCACAAGACACCCAGAAATGCTAACATTCAGGTTCCAGGGACCAGCTGTTAATTATCTGCCTGTCAAATTCCGAACAACCCACCCCGCCTACGACTTCACCCCTTGGGTCATTAGCAGCCTCAGCCCCCCACCCACAGGTCTCCACGCCTTTGTGTGTTTCACCGGCTCCTTCAGGAACGCCTGCCCTGTCCTTCCCCACCCAGGGAAATTCCACACATTTCGCAAGCCCCAGGTGACAGGTTGCCTCCTTCCTGCCTGGGATCCTTTGGCCCAGGCAGCCCCATCCAAGTACCCCATACTTGATTTGTGCCATCCTGTCGCACCCTTGGCCTCACCGTTCAGTGGACAGACGACCTATCTGCCTTCACGGATGAAGTCCCTCCCTTCTAGAACCGGGGTGGGGAATCTCTGGCCCCATGGGTTCAATATGACCCTTGAACTCATGTGGTCTGACTCTCCCAAGACAACTACTGCAGGCAGGACTTGAAATGCAATGAATCCAGAGAAGGCACATCTTCAAGCTGCAGATGATGCTAGAAAACACCAAAAGGGCTCTTTGGCAGAAAGACAGCCTCAGCTTTGTTTTATAACAATGGCCTGTGACGCTACCACCCTGCCCAGCTGCAGTACTATACAACACAGACTGGCAAGTGAAGCGATGGAAATGATGAAATGGTTGGAAAAAAAAATCTAAAGAATACTTTGCGATGTGCAAATTACACACAGTTCTGAGTTCGGTGCCTGGGGTGGAGGCCATGGCTCAACAGGCTAATCTTCTACCCTGTGGTGCTGACATCCCATATAGGCACAGGTTTGTGTCCCAGCTGCTCCAATTCTGATCAAGCTCTCTGCTTCTGGCTTTGGAAAGCAGAGGATGGCCCAAGTCCTTGAGACTCTGCACCCTTGTGGGAGATCCGGAAGAGGCTCCTGGCTCCTGTCTCCTGACTTTGGAAGGCTCAGCTCCAGCCATTACAGACATTTGGGGAGTGAACCAGTAGATGTAAGATCTTTCTGTATCTCCTCTCTGTAAACCTGCCTTTCCAGTAAAACTTAAAAAATAACAATAAGTTTCAAAGCCCGTACATCTTTATAGGAATGCCGACAACCTACAGTTTCCAGGACTGCTCTTTAAGTTCCAACGAGGGTCAATTAATTGAGAAAGGTATCCTCTTATCATGGGGCAGGATTGAGTTCCTGGCTTCAGCCCGAGGTGTGGGCACTGGGGAAGTGAACCAGCAGACAGGAGCTCTTCCCCAATAATGAAAAATAAACAATAACAACCAAAAAGAAAATCTGTGGCTACCGTTCCTACTTTTACCGCCCACGTGAGGCCAGGCTGGCTTCCTAAACCCCCCCACCTATTCTCCTTACATAGTTATTTGAAGCCTCAGAATAGCTGGGAGAGGAAACTGGGACGTGCGCAATTAGCCCATTTTAAAGACCAGGAAAGTGAGGCAGATCCCAGCTGACTGCGGAGCTTCTGACTCAGCAGGCGAGGAGCCCACCAGGCTCGCTCCACCTTCTCCAACGCAGCTACCTCGGGGCGAACGAAGCCGAACGAGCCGGGCCAGGCTTCCAAGTTCGCATCCCCAACCGGCCCAGGGCGCGTCCTCCCGGCAGCATCCCGCCTGCCCTCCGCCCTCGCCCGCTTCCGGGGCTCCTTCCCACCACCAAACTCCCACCCCCACTGCCCGCGCGCAGGTGGTAGACTCCGCGCCCAGTGCGCAGGCGCCCGGCGCCGTCGGGGGCGGGGCCGGCCGGGGGCGGGGCGTGCGCGGGCTCGCTTTTGGGGCCGCGGCGGGAGCCGGAGTCGCTGCCCTCCAGTGCGCAGGCGCCTGGCGGTTACCGGTCTCGCCATGGAGCGGAAAGGTGAGCGGTGGAGCGGCCTCCGCCACGAGGGGCAACGGCTGCCGGGTCGAGGTCCGAGTCCGCAGCGCTGGGAGCTCGGCCTCACTGCCGCCGGCCGCTGCCGCCCGGCGTGCGGCGCCCCTGCGCGGAGGTGGCGCCGCCCCTCACCCCCCGCCAGCTCTGGGGTCCGCGCCCCTCGGCCCCGGCGTCCTCCGGCGCCAGCCGTCACTGCCCCTTGTTCCCGGCCGGGCCCGCTCGCGCCTTGGGGCCGCTGCTGCAGGGCCCGGCCCAGGGCGGGCGAGGCAGACCCCCGAGGCGGCCCGAGCCCCCTCCGGCGCATCCCGCCTGGGCGCTGCTGTGCGCCCCGTGGGCCGCCCGCCCCCAGACCGAGCGCCTCGCCGAAGCCGCCCTCCGGCAGGCCCCGCGGTCGGGCCTGGCGCCCCTGCTGGGTCTCCAGCCTCACCTGGGTCGCCTGCTCTCCTCCACACTCGCCCTTCATCCATCCCTCTCTCCTGCAGTGCTTGCGCTCCAGGCCCGAAAGAAAAGGACCAAGGCCAAGAAGGACAAAGCCCAAAGGAAGTGAGTCTTTTTGCTGGTACCCCTCCAGCCCCCCGACTCTGCTGGATTCCCTCCAGGCACCTCTGCTCCTCCAGAGTTCCGGGTCTTGACCTCGTGCGCCCGGGTGGGGAGCACCTGGCGGTGGCCGACACATGGCCCCCAAGGCGGCCCCGGGTTTGCAGAGGGTGTAGGGGGCGTGCAGGACGGGGTCGCCCTCTGCAGATAGCCCAGGTGCCGGGCTGCTGGGGTGGGACCTGAGCCGGCCCGGTGCCTTCCGCCGCGGCCCGCTCCCCCAGCCCGGGTCCCCGGTGGAGCTGGGAGAGCCGCCTCGCTCTGTCTGCCAACGCTGCCCTCCCGCTCTCCTGACTTAACCTTCCTGCCGGCGTCTGAGCACGCCGACCTGGTCCCGCGGGGCCTCGAGGACATTTCTTGAGTGGGTTTAGCGTCTTTATTTTGGGTCCGGGCCGCCGCATGCTGCCCCTTTGCGTAGAGCGGAGCATGGAGTTACCCTGTGCCCGCCTCACCCCATCCACTCTCGGAGTTAGTTAACTTGCTGAGGCTGCGGGTCGAGGGACCACCCTGCGCACGCTCGGTGTGCGTTGCGCGCTCTCCCCTCTCTCTCTCTCTCTTAACCTCAACCCCGGGCGGAACGCCGATCCCCCACTGCACTGGGCATCACCGTGCTGGTCGCAGTGTGCTTGAGCCGTTCCTCCCTTTGGGCCAGCTTCTGCCAGCCAGCGTCGGGGATTCTGCTCAGTGTGTGGAGCGAGCGCCCGCCTGTGCAGTGCCCTGCTCGCGGAGATGCAGAATGGGGGCAGATAGCAGCCTGGTGCACAGCAAGTGAGGCTTAGCCTTACAGACAGATGTAGGGCTCGTACCGGCGTTCCGCGGTCCAGGGAGGGTCGTGGACAGCGGCTCTGGATGCCAGTTTGTATTTTGAAAAAAAAAAAAAATTGTTGCTCTAGTTCTTAAGTAGTTGCATTGTCATCCGACAGGTCTAGTGTTGGAGCTGTTATGGTAGGACGCGTTTCAGAGGCCTCGCCCTAGCTTCCACCCCGCGCTGGCAATAGCACACAGCTGTGAGGCTCCCTGTTGTTTGCGTAGAGTCGGTAATAACTTGTCAATAGAATGAAAGTGATAGGTGACCTCACCTCTTGCTCCATTTTCTACTCTCTGTCTTAGGAAATTGCTTATTTTGCAAGTGCGCGGTTGCCAAAACATGGGTGCGTGTGTGTGTGTGTGAGAGTGTGTGCACGCCCACGCTTACCTTCTGACCATCCTTTGATTGGATTAAGGAAGTGATGAGGAACTAACCTGGTTGTAGTATGCAGTAGGAATGAAAATGTCACTTGTTTCTGTGCCTTAGTTTTGCTATTCCTTCTAGTATATGGATATGATATGGATGTGTTATAACAACATTTTGAATTGGAAAAAGAGATGGCCTTTTTTTTTTTTTTTAATTATTCACTGTATTTTTAGAAGTCCTGTTCTCTTGCATCACGTTCTCTGGTCTCTCCTACTGCTTGGAAATCGATCTTTTTTTTTTTAGCTTAAATCAAGCTATGAATTGGTGGGAGACTGTCGGGCTAATTTTAATTTTCTGTACATTGTGTTTTGTTTCTAAAGTCAGGTGTGCTTTGCGATATCTGTTGCTCCTCTCTTCACTGCTCTGGGTAACTCGGTTATTTGTGCTCTTAATTATGTCATACTGCAAGCTCTGAGTGTGGATTACAGGCGGTGCTCGGCATCTCACTGGACACTTCATCTTGTCCTGCTCTGACTCCCCCAGAGCCGCGAGTGAGCTGCCCTGTTGACTTGGTCCTTGCAGAAGGTACTTTTTGTTCTGTCTTCAGTTGATACATGTTTCTTTGTAATTTTCCATGTCTTTCTGTTTGTTTTTCAGCCTCTTTGTTGTAAGTAGCTGGAATAGCTAATTGGTTAGGTTGGTTGGATGTGCTGTGTCAGTAGTTGAAGCCTCCCCTGGCCCAGGTCGGGCTCCTGCCTGGGCCCTGCTGGTCTCAGGGTGTCTTGAAGGCAAGCAACTGCTCTCACAAATCCTAGGAAGGTGGTCCTAGGAGGAAGCTTGGGGTAGTCTGGTCTTGAAGGAAGACCTGTCTAGTTTTGAAGCAATTACCTAATGGTACAAAACAAAAATATCAAATGAAAAGTTTTAGAAAATTTTGAAAATATTAGCAGTAGCTGGCATAACCTTGTAATGTAATTGTAGTGTGGTACAGATGGACAGGATATTCAGTCTCTTTCATTCTGTGGATCTTAGAACTAGGGCCCACACACAGGAGATAATATTTTCAGGGTCATGGAGCTGGATGTAGCAACCCTTGCTAGAACCCAGGGCTCCTGTTTTCCTATACTGTGTGGTTTTGTTTGGTTGGTTGTTTTGTTTGAAAGACAAAATTATTGAGAGAGAGATCTTAACTGCACCACTCCCCACACGACTACAACACAGCAGCCAAAAAGCGCTGGTCCAAAGGTAGGAGCCAGGAACCCCCTCTAGATCTCCTGTGTGAGTACAAGGGCCCAAGCACTGAACCATTCTCTGCTGCTTTTCCAGGTCATAAGCAGAGAGCAGGGTCGCAAGTGTGGAGTGGCCAGGACCAGAACTAAAACCCAGAAGGGATGCTGGCACCACTGGTGGAGGCTTGCAGCACGACGCTGGTCCCCCAGTGCTGTGTTTGAGTTCTGTTAAAGAGTTGTTTATTTGGGGCCCCCCTCCTGGCGTGGTCTAGTGGCTAAAGTCCTCCCCTTGAATGCCCTGGGATCCCATATGGGCGCCGGTTCTAATCCCGGCAGCTCCACTTCCCATTCAGCTCCCTGCTTGTGGCCCGGGAAAGCAGTCGAGGACGGCCCAAAGCTTTGGGACTCTGCACCCATGTGGGAGACACAGAAGAAGTTCCTGGATCCTGGCTTCGGATCGGCATAGCATCGGCTGTTGCGCTCACTTGGGGAGTGAATCATCGGATGAAGATCTTCCTCTCTGCCTCTCCTCCTCTCTGTATATCTACCTTTCTAATAAATAAATAAATCTCTAAAAAAAAAAAAAAAAGAGTTGTTTATTTGAAAGAATTACTGAGAGAGGGAGAGGCAATTCTATCCACTGTTGAACTCCCAGATGGCATTAACAGTCCGAAGTCAGGAGCTTCATCCCAGGAATCTCCCTCTTGGGTGGCAGGGCCATGTTACGTTGCTTTTCTCAGTAGCATCCGTCACACACCTGGATAGCAAGTGGAGTTGCCAGGGATTTGAACCATTTCCTAGAGATCCCAGGAAGGCTCTGAGGGACCCTAAAGCCACGTTAAACCACCCCTAGAAATTATGTTACTGATGCATCTATTGTAAAGAATTTTAATCTGTACTGTCAGTTATTCTGGAAAGAGTCAGCCAGTTTAACCGCTATTCATTAGACAAATAGTTTTTGCACTTGATCTTGGCCGAAAAGGCCAAAAAGTACTAGACGGTTTTTAAACATCTGCCACATTCCAAGCACTATCCTCTATCTTTGGGATACTGCAATGAAGGAAAAAACAAATACTTGCCTGCTAGGAGTTTTGTTTTCCTGGGAAGGGGCACAGCATGAACAATAGACCACCTGGGGCAAGGAAACTACCTGATTCAGTGGCTGAAGGACCCTGAGAGCAGTTGCCAAGCCAGTGAGGGAGACCATGTTGTGACAGATGGAGGGCAGGGCAGTCAGAGTGGCAGTGTTCCTTGTTCTCTGTGGAGACAAGGGCTCTACAATACCACTTGAGAAATGCTTTCTAATCTGATCATATGAAGTCTACTGTCTTTAAATTCAGGGTTTTTATTACTCCAATTTATTGAATCCTGGGAGCTCTTTGTTAAAATATGCTTTGTAGGGAAGCGTATTTGTATTTTCTGAGCTTATGAGTTTTCAGATTCTGTTTATAAGGGTTGTGATTGTTATAGCAGTTAAAACTGGGATGCCACCAGTCGCATCAGAGTGCCCAGATCAACTCCCAGCTCTGCTTGGGGCTTCCTGTTACCAGCTAATGGGCACCGTAGGAGGCCGCTGGCCCTGGCTGAAGAACATGGGCCCTTCTACCTGTGGGGGAGACCTGGACTGAGTTCCCTGCTCCTGGCTTGCACCAGGCCTGGCCCTGGCTGTGGTGGGCTTTTGGAAAGTGCTCTAGGGCCTGAAGATCTGTCTCTAGCTAGCGCTCTTTGTGTTTCTGCCTTTCAAATAATTTTTTTTTTTTAAGATTGATTTTCACTGGAAAGTCAGATATACAGAGAGGAGGAGAGAAAGAGAGGAAGATCTTGCATCTGATGATTTACTCCCCAAGTGACTGCAACAGTCGGTGCTGAGCCGATCTGAAGCCAGGAGCCAGGAACCTCCTCCAGGTCTCCCACATTGGTGCAGGGTCCCAAAGCTTTGGGCCATCCTCGACTGCTTTCCCGGGCCACAAGCAGGGAGCTGGATGGGAGGTGGGGCTGCCGGGATTAGAACCGGCGCCCATATGGGATCCCAGGGCATTCAAGGTGAGAACTTTAGCCACTAGGCCACCACATTAGGCCCCCAAATAACTTTTTTAAAATTTCATTTGTAGTGTTTTTGATGTAAATTGATCCTTAATGTGACTACATTGTTTTCCTTTTAAAATTTTTGGTGTCAGCTATCACATCCTTTATAAATGATTACATTTTTAAATGTGTGATTCCATTTAAAAAATGCATTTCTAGAACTGTTGTCAAATATTTTCTTCTATTCCTCAGTAAGTTTATATATTTGTTTTGTTTAAGTTTGTGTTTGTACTACACTAAACCCAGATCCAGGCCCCAGCTTGCAAAATTACCATGTTCTGTGTCTGCCACAGTAGCCTAGTGGCTAAAGGAAGGGAGGGATCGATCCCACCTTGCATGTGCTAGATTCCATATGGGCACCGGTTCTAATCCTGCAGCCCCACTTCCATCCAGCTCCCTGCTTGTGGCCTGGGGAAAGCAGTCCAGGACAGCCCAATGCCTTGGGACCCTGCATCTGTGTG